CCAATTGTGTCACTGTTTCTCTGTGTCATGATAGATCCCAATTGAGCGGCGGCGGCTGGCCTATGGGCCGGCGCGCAATAGTGCTCGCCGCCGCATGGCTCCCCATGTGCTTAGGGCCCACCCTCTGGGAGCCAGCAGACAGGAAGCTAGCCAGCCAGAAGGCTGGCGCTCCCCACCCGCAGCTCCCTGTGTGCCGGAAGCCCTCCTTCCGGGAAACCCCGAGGCCGGGAGTAAGTCGCCATTCTGAAGACCGGCGCTCCCCGCCCGAGGCTCCCAGTGCGCTGGGGGCCCCTCCATTATGTTTTGTAACAGAACACAGTCACATGTTTAGCTTCAGGGGAAGAAATGATACCTCTATTCTGGTGTACCATCTAAATACTGAAGGTTCTGTCACTGCATAGCAGTGTTTGTTGACTGAGTAGCTGATCTGAGAAAGAGTCTACATTCCTCAGTGGGCCTATGACCTCCCCTGACTCTGATTCTCCTAAATCTCTCTTGGTCTTCACTTTAGTGTTGTAGCAGCCACTTTTCCAAGCCTCAAAGGTAGAATAAACTTGATATGAAGGTAGTTGCTGCCATTCCTACTCCAAATACACAAGAGGCATATGGACAAAAGTGATACAGCTGAGTGACACTGAGGCAGATGGGCTTGCTTAAAGCAACAATACTGGTTTTGTTGTCTCTGAGGAAAAGCAGAAAAAAGAACACAAACCAGGGGCCTTGTTACAGGAAAGTAAAAAGTACTGGAATATCTTCAAGGAATAAAAGGGTTTCTTTTATCATCATATAACATATAAAGTAAAAATTGCACTAGCTCTAAATTTCTAAACAAACAACGTATTTTTTCAGTATTGGGAATTAAACTTAGGGGCACTTTACCACTGAGCTGTACTCTGAGCCCTTTTCATTTTATTTATTTTATCTACACATACTTGCAGTACATAATGTTTACTTTCCTTGTATGGAGTTCATACATGTATATAATTGTCTTGGTTACTTTTCTCTCATCCCTGAGACAAAACATTTGATGCCCAGAATTCAGAAAGGGCAAAATTTATTTAGCTCACAGTTTGTGGAGGTTTCAGTCCATACTTGGCTGGCACCAAGGCAGAGTGGCACATGGCAGAGGGCAACAGTTCATGGTGCGGGAAGACAGTAAAAGCAGCAAGAGCAAAAAAGGAGGAGTAGCAGAAAGAAGCCTCTTTCCCTCCCTTCTATTGTATGCAGGCTGCCTGCCCCGGGGCAGGTGTGGTGCTCACAGCCATGATCCCAGCACTGGACCATGAATTAATCATTGACTCGAGAAGCCCACCCCATGACTGCATGAGGCTTTCGGGGACATCCAGACACAGACCATAACAATAATACATCTTAATTCCTGTTTTTATTTTCTTTCTCTTTCCTACCTCCCACTCCCTTCATCTCTTGATCTCTTTCTCATCTGGAAAGATCAATCTCCCTACTTCTATCTTTAATTTTTCTCTTTATTTTTAATTTGGGTTTCTCAAATAAGAGAAATCATGTGACATTTAAGTTTGTGTGTCTGATTTATTTCCTTAACATTATGATCTCAAGGTACAATCCATTTTCCTACAAATGACTGATGAAGAAATGTTCAGGATCCCTGGCCATTGGAGAAATGCAAATTCAAACAACAGTATGATTTCATCTTTCCCCAGAAAGAATGGCCATCAAAAATCAAATATTGTAATAACAAATGCTGGTAAAGCTGTGTGGAAAATGGAGCCCTTCTACACTGTTGGTGGAGTGAAAACTAGTACCATCACTATGGAAATCAGCATGGAGATTCCTTAAAAACTAAAACTATAAATTCCATTTGACCCAGCAATTCCCTTTCTAGGTGTCTTCCTGAAAGAGTTAAAGACATCATATTACAGTGATATATGCATACCCATGTTTATTTTTGTTTTTGCATTTTGGTTTTGGAACACCCATGTTTATAGCAGCATAATTCATAATAGCTAAATCTTGGTAGTAGCCTATGTCTATCAAGAGATAAATGGGTAAAGAAAATACGGTATTTATACATAATAGAGTACTACTGTGCCATAAAGAAAGACAAACACTTTTATTTTTTTATCTTGAGACAGGATCTCACTAAATTGCCCAGTAGGCCTCAGAGTTTCAATCCTCATGGCCTCAATTTCCCAAGCAGCAGAGATTAGAAGCAAGGGCCACCAGACTTACCCCAATAAGCAACTTTTGAATGAACTAGAGATCATT